AATAGAGCAATGTCATAAGAACTATGCTATATTTATCGAAAAAACATGGTGAAATTGCATAATATATGTAGTAAATGGTCTTATATGATTATTTTGAGCTTAAATGATGCCACAATAATAGATCCAACCCAAAGTCGGGGCGTATCGCTAGTAAATAATAAACGAAGAAACTTATTTCTAAGCTGAACTGTTACTGTGTGTATAAGTGTAGATATGTATACTCGTAAACTAACATATTTATATTATGATTTCTTATATTTACGCGAACACTACACATTTTTAAATAAAACTAATTTTACGGATTTTTTATCGCGTATATTAACTTATTTTTATATTCCCAAAAAAAAACTGAAAAAAAAACTGAAGGTAGCCGGGCTAACTATGACAGCAGGACGTCAAACACCTCAGTCCCCCGTGACCACGGGTGCTGGAAAGCACCCGAAACGTCGGGAATATAAAAATAAGTTAATATACTAGTATAGTTATATATTATATACTATACTAGTATATTACTTAGTAGTATATTAGTATATTACTATACTAGTATATACTACTATATTATATACTACTAATATAGTTTTATTTAAAAATATTTATATTATATAATAATTTTTGTATAATATGTGTAAATAAGTTAGTTTTTTCTCCTGCGGCTCTAACCATAGCTCTCAACAAAGGTTAGCTGGCAGAGAATGCCTTTTCGGCATTAAGTTCGCCTTTGTACCATTTTTTTTGTTTGAAGAATTTTCTATCTATCTACTGTGATAACTGTTGTTACTTATAACAAATTTATTTAAACCGCCATTATAAATTGATTAATTCGCTTCTCTGTAAACAATGGCGTCACCATAGTATTGCGCAACACAACCAGCCAACCATGCGTGTTCATTTTGTCACAGACAGTTCAGGACCACTTTAAATCACCCGGCTCCCACTTGTTACGGGATGCATCAATATTTAATTTTCAATGTCTTCTAACACCAAGATATAATCTTACTATTGAACCAATGTACTAAATATTTATCACCTATAAATTACAACTTTGTTAACTTAGAGCTTATGTTATTATAATTGTTTTGTTTATGTAGTGTACGTTTATTTATTACCAATTCCAAAAGTTTAACCTCTATAAAGAACATCGACAGGAAACATTCATTTTCTTCCGTTTTTTTCTTTTATTGTATTTTGTATCGTTTTATGTAACGTATCAAATAGACAGGCCAAAGAAAATCGCTGGTTGGATTGTAGCATAGCCACTTAATTTTATAAAAAAGTCATCCTTCACCGTCCGTTGCAATGTTGGTTTGGATAATCCATTGTCTATTAAGCTATTGCCTTAGACAAATTTGCAATAGACGGTAGTTTGGGCGGGAACTTGCTCTTGCCCGCGCGCGAATTGTTGCTCCTGTTTAATCGTTTAGATAAATGGTTTAAGTGGATTTTGATGCGAATGTTTGTTTGATTTTGATGGAAATTGATGGGATTTTGTGTATTTAAGTGTCTACGCATATGAATTAATAGTGGTAATGATGTAACAAGTGCTTTAATAGGGATATTATCGTCATCACCTGTCTGCTAGGTTAAGCTGTTGTTAAAATCTCCCAAGACCACCACATCACCAAGTTTTGTAAACATGATACAAATCAAATTAGGCTGTATGGCTTTAGACCTTTGCCTGCCTTAATACGAGTAGGTCAATCATACAAATAACATTGCAATAAACAATAATCTTCAAAATTGCTTACCTATCTGTGGCACACTACTTATTACACTATGGAGGGTAGAGGTAAAGAGGACTATCTCATATGGGGGACAAGCTGTAAATAACAGTCCAAAAACCTTCCAGAATGGTACTAGCGTAGATACAGGTAATAGTCAGCTGTGCCTCTACCCTCCATAATTACAGGCATTTTTAGCGCTAGTAGCTCAGCGGACAAACGCCCGCTCAACCCTAAACATTTCATAGTAAACGAGCAAACTAATTTTGATCTTCACCAGCACTAATGAAATTGTTGATTGCAATTTAAATGGTGATTTACCACGTGCTTAGCGGTGAAGACAAACGTCGTTGTTAAAAAACATGCATCATTGAACCTAAAAATGTTTTCATGTAAAGTTCGCCAATATGAATTAAGAGGACTCTTCCCTGCTCCATAATCTCACATTCTTTTTTTCTTTCTTTCTTGAATAATATTGTTACAACTCTTAGATTTTCTACTGTATCCTGGAGACTATTTACTTACATAAATTGCACATGGACAAACGTCCAGACACGGAACAGTTACTATATATAATATCATATAGTAGACTATACAAATGCTTGTTCTATCATGGGTTCGAAGTCGTGACCCCGCGCAGCTCTAGCAAATTTTTTATAGACCTTGCACTATCTAAATTAAAAATGTCCACTAGACTGAATTTCTTTACAGCGGCTAGTCTCAACTGAGTCTAGCTATCTGCTCAGGACGGAATTATAATAAACGAGTGTTTGCGTAAGCACAGGAGCACTCTCTCTCTTCTCTTACTCTCAAAATCTTATGGGACAGCAATATGATACGAACGGGGAAAGATCAGGCGCATAACCAACGGCTACGTGCATTCCGAGTTACGGAAAGTACCGCCGACTTCCTGACTGGGCTGTCACTGAAAATATATTGATAGAAAAACGCCATAACTGGTTTTGGCCGGACCCAAAATTCGAACCTAGACCAAAAAGACAATCTTATTATAACTACCTATTACAAAACCTCTTAACGTCTTCCTTACAGGATCATATATTATAACATCAGTTACTTTTTACTAGGATTTCAACCCAGGTCTTTTGAAGATCAAGGCATTCCGTGCCTATTGAGTCAGATACATTGATCGCTGAGCCAGGCAGTTATAAAATACTGTTCAATTATTTACAAACAGTCTCGTCCAAAGCAAACATTAAAGTAAAGCATGTATATTTGGTACAAGAGTCGTCCCTTGGGTTACTTAACCATTCTTTGATGTTACTCCTGAATATTTTAAATTATTTAGATACTAGATCAAAAGCAACATTGTTTCAAAATTCCACATGAATATCAAATGTCATACTTATAAGTTTAGTACACGCTTTGCTACCTTCTCAGTAAATATTACATAATTATATTATAATAAGTAATTTTCGTTTGCTCTTTGCGGGTAAGAAATTGTGTGATAAAAGAAAAGTGTGGTTTGGAAGATGATGTTGTGACCAGGAATAAGAAACGAATACTTCGGTGGGTTGGTTTGTCATGTAGAAAAAATGAACGAGGGAAGAGTGACAAAGCAAATTTATCTTGCAGAAGTGATTAGCGGAGTCCGCAAGGGACGCCCTAGAGCCCTAGACAAAAGTTTATTGAAATTTTTGAGCATCTGCGTAAGTATATGTATGTAAGGAGGCGAGAGGGGTGTGTCAGGATCGTGCCAAATGCAAGTTCTTAATCTCTGCCTACTCCCGTCTAGGTAACAGGCGTGTGTGTTTATGTTTTTTTTTATGTTACGATAATTTTCGTTTGCGTCGACACTGTGTAGTTGCAGTGGTATATCCATTACCCCATATCGTCCCGCAGATGGCGTAAGAGGTGACAGAGAGAAATAAGTCAGGAGATAAGGCGCAGCGTCTACCTAATAGTAACTAAAAATATAAAAAAATAAACTACGGTTGCCAACACGCCTGCCAAGCTTGGCAACTATTTTAAATATACCCTATGAGCCAAGGTTAAGGGAGAGGCCTACATTCAGCAATTGACTTTTCATAGGCTGTAACAGACAAATAAATTGTTAAACACTAATAATAAAAGAAAATATGTTCAATCGTGTGTGAAATATGAATATGGAAAACATTTGCAATCATCAAAACACACGACCTTGAAACAAGCTTTAAATAAACATAAAATTAAATACATGGCATCGTCTCCACGAAAGCTCAGGTGTTGGACATACTGAACGAACGTTGGGAGTTAAAAAAAAAGTTAAAATTAAGCACGAGTCGAGAGTCTTAACGCATTCAATGTGTATGGCGTGATCGCGGAGCAGGAAGAATTTCAAATTATTGCAATTCATACAAATGTGAACTTTAATAAATTGACAATAAACTCGGTTTTCGAATCACAAATACTGTTCCTAAAAAATGTCCTAAAATTATCTTAGTTGCAATAGAAATAAAACTTTTTATGATGGGAATTAAGTTCAAAAATGCAAAGCAATAAAAAAATCCTGCTCTGCGACCGTGCTTTAGTAGTAATCATTTTCACTGTCTCGTTGGTCTAGTGGTTGTAAGCGCGACTGCTGATCATGTGGTCTCGGATTCGAACCCCTGGTCGAATTAAAATCAATGATTAGATTTTCCTCGGAAAGCACGTGAAGCCGTTGGTCCTGCGCTTGAGCTCCACCGTCATGTCGGTCTATTTACGATTTACGAGAGTGCAAGAATAGAAACTGCACCTATGCTCGCACATATTAACCCAACGGCCTAGTTAGTCTGGTGGTCGTAAGCGTCACTACTAAACATGTGGTCCCGTGTTGGAATTTCAGGTCGGGCCAAAATTATTTATTCGGTTTTCTGTCCAAAAATTGCCAGTAGCAGGCCGCAAACAGAAAGTTTGCGGTGTTTCACTCCCGTGACTCGGGAAGCACGTAAAGCTGTTGATCCTGCGCCTGATCTCCGACGCCATGTCCAATAAGAGTTCCATCAGACTATGATAGTAAGAGAATAGAGAGCGTACGAGTATGTGCTTACGCACACACTCGTATACTATAATTCGTCTTGCGCAGATTGCTTGTCTCCGTTGAGATTGGCCGCCGTGACAAAAATTCTGTCTGAAAGCCGTTAGTATTGTTGGTAATATTTGCGATGATAAAAGGAATCATAATTAATGCAATTGTAACTGTGATTGCAGCAACCAGACGAGCTGGCCAAGTCCGTGAAGCTGACGTCGCGCGAGCGACGCTTCATCAAATTCGCCAGCGTGGAGTATGGCGGGCAGCTCTACATGACGCCACAGGACTTCCTCGAATCGGTCGTGGAACAGGAGCCGAGACGTAAGTCACTTTGAAAAATTAAGATACCTGAAGAAATTTTAAAAATAAGTTCATTGATGCTATCTTAATTATAAGCTCAATAATTTTAATATGAAATTAATAATTTAATATAATTTTTAGCCTATAAGCTCTATTAACATTCCCGTTAAGAACTTCCAATTAAGCTATAAATGCTTTTTGCTTTTTCAAGAAGTCTTTGACGATAGACATTCCCAGTAGGTATTTCAAATTACGCCTAAAAACATTTACACGAAATACTTATCTTCACGCACAATCCCTGACGGGGTAGCCAGAGAGAACAGATCGCCAAGTGTCACGATCCTTACATACCTCTTTCGCTTCTTTCAGATTCATTATCTTCTTCATACATGCACGTCTAGGTATCCGAGTACTCTTGACCCTACTCTCTTCGAGCAATTTGCTCACATGGTCTTCGAAAGTTAGTCTCGGTCTACCTCGACACCATTTAATATTTACTTTCGCGCTGTATATTTTCTTCGCCATTCGGTCTTCACTCATTCGCTCAACGTGCCCAAACCATCGAAGCACGCCCTTATCGATTTCTGTGATAAGGTCATCTTTTAAACCTGCCATATTGCGAATCTCTTCGTTTCGCTTTCGGTCGGCCATGGTAACGTCGCACATTTTACGAAGAGATCGCATCTCCACTGCATTCAACTTGCGTTTATGCTTCTTCTGGCATACCCAGGTTTCGCTGCCATATAACAAAGTCGGTACCAACACTGCGTTATGTATTGCAAGGCGTGCACTCTTCACTACGCCTTGCCTTTTGACTAACGCAGTCAGGGCACCATTGACTTTGTTCCCGGCAGCGACACGCCTGTCCACATCTAAATCACATCTTTCATCCCGGCTAAAAGCACTCCCCAAGTATAAAATTTCATTTACCTGTTCTAGACATTTCTGATTTACCCATATTTCACACTTCGTTCTGCCTTCGTCCCTTTCAAATACCTTTACACGAAATACATAATTTTAACAAAAATAAACTACAGTAGGTAGGTACTGATGAAAAATTCCATTCATTTTATAGTCTAGGACTTCTGAGAATTTGCTTCCCCAGTGGTTTTAATAGTTTGGTCTATTTGGTAAGAACATTGGAAATGGTTTCCAAAAGGAAAATTTATCAGTAGTCTTAACAATAATACTACTGGAAATACCCCGTTGACGACAGTAGTCGAATGACGTCGCTTATAAACTTGCATAATACATAAACAAAACATAAATTAAATCAATTTTATTAAGAAAATCATAAAAATCAATGTATTTGCTTGGTAGAGCCATGCTGCAGCTATATTATGGTTGTAGCAAGAATGGGTCGGCTCGAACGGGGAAGAACCACGCTCTCACAGAATATCATCGTAAAATAGCAGCTCAATGCTGCTGTTTTCCGTGTGGTGAGCGTAGAGAACTGGTGACCCTTTTTGCTGGAAACGAGGTATTCCATCTTAATCCTCAGGCGTGGCACCACATCTGCATTTTGATTCTTAAGCGAGGATAGAAATGTGCCCGGTTTATCACCCTTATTTTATAAAAAAAATGTACATTTTCCAGCTCATAGAAAGCAGGCGAACGACACGTGAATATCAATGCTTTTAACATTATTAATATTCGAATTAACCACTCCAGCTGTTGTAAACTCCTAACGCAAGCACTGCTGTGTTAGCAGTTTACGACAGTAGTTGAATGGAGGATTCGTGTCCACGCCTTTGTGTTCGCGGTCCGCTCCCCACCACTAGGCAACTGTCGTTTAAATATAAAAAACAATTATATTACCTTTTATTCTTGTTTTTTCTTTTTTATTTAAGATTCTTTCGTTATTATTAACATGTCAGTCCCATTGTACCTTATAACTAAATAATACAAGAAAAATATTATTTAATTACTTATACAATACTTGATATGATAAACCATTTGAGCAGCATCTGACAGTGGTTCAGAGAATATACTTTTATATTCCCCTATGTTATACATTTTAATGTCAGTTTTGGCAACATTCCGCGAGCAAGTGTTGTATGTCTTCGATTGTGTTGCATGTTTCACAATTTGGAGATTGTTCCTTTTAACATTTTATTCTTAAACAGCTCGACTTAAGCGACGCGTCCTGACTACGAAAGAGATCGAGTACCTTCGCGACCACACGCCGCCGCTCAAAAAGGGTTCCTCGCAAATGTTCCGCAGCATGAGAGACAGGGGTAAGATTCGCTTATTCATCATTTATCCATAAAGACTACTCGTCCACTATTTGACACAGGCCTCCCACATAGTGTCTCAAAATGGGCATTTTGCCATGATTGCCTTTTTTATAGGATAAGGGTGACAAACGAGCAGACAGTCCACCTGATGGTAAGTGGTTGCTGTGGCCCATAGACATCTACATCTATCCTCAATAAAGAATCAAAATGCAGATGCGTTGTCACCCGAGAGGACTAAGATGGAATGGATCTTTTCCAGTAAAAAGGGTCTCCGGTGCTCTACACTCACCATTTGAAACACAGCAGTGTTAAGCTGTTATTTTACGTTGGTATTCTGTGAGAGCGTGGTCCTTACCCGGTCGAGGCGACCCATTCCTGCTACAACTATACTACTAATATAGCTGCAGCATGGCTCTACCAAGTATGAAAAGGCACGTATGCCTCGCTAGGAAGACGGGTGGGCGACCGCAGTTTTTTTTATTATTTTATATTGCTATCAGGAAGATGCTGCTGCCCATTTTCTATTTCGATTCCCTCTGTCGCCTGTAACGATAACCATGAAATGATATGGGGTAGTGGATTCTCTTATGCCCTAAACATCACTAGATGAGATAATAGTGACAGTTCTTTTTTTTGTTTCTTTTCTTGTCTTTATGTTTTTAAAAAACCTTACCCCCACGCTAGGATTTTCTCCTGTATCGTGGAGGAGGTTTACAAACACAAATTGCACAAAGACAAACATCCAGACCCGGAACAATTATTTGCAGGCCATACAAATACTTGTTCCGTGCGGGATTCGAATCCGCGGCCCCCACTGTGCCATGGAGCCGACTATTTAAAAGTATTTTAACAGTTTTATATATTTTAACGTGATACAGCCATGCTGCAGCTATATTATTGTTGCAGTACGAATGTGTCGGCTCGAACGGGGAAGGACCGCGCTCCCACAGCATGCCAGCGTAAAATAGCAGCTCAGTGCTGCTGTGTTTCGTATGGTGTAGTGAACCGAATACCCTCATGGTGGCAACGCATCTACATTTTGATTATTTTTCGAGAATGTTGTATATGTCTATGGGCCACAGCATTCACTTACACGCACGTGGTCAATCAGCAGTTAAAATTAAAATTAATTTAATATTAGATAATAATTGTTACAATATTGCTATGCGGCACAGCGAAAAACCACGCAGGTTTGTGTTGCGTGCCGTTCCGTCTACATTTACAAAAATGGGGATAACAATTAATATTTGTTAAGGAAATAACATTTTAATTTATACTTTATGTTAACTTCATTAAGTTCACTTCTAAATTTATTATCCAGACCATTTATTAATCGAGGTATTATGTATGCGTTTTTTTTTCATTTCAATGGTGTCGGCGATTTTGCTCTTTGCATTTTGCTCTCGCTCTGAGACTTACGTTGAGCGCTTACTCCCTAAGCTATTGCGGCTCAGTTCTGTTAACATCACCTTACTTATTTCTGCCACCAAGCAACAGTGTGTGAACTGCTGTGTTCCAGTCTGTATGGAGAAGAGAGCCAGCATAATTACAGGCCTTCTATTGCATAGTGTCTTAGTCCAGGCGTTCTATCTTAGTGTTCAGAGGTAACAACGCATCTGTAGTTGTCTCTGTCTGATGTTGGTTGTAAATGTAAGGTTCTTTGACACTTCAATAATAAAAAAAAAACTAATTTAAAATGCTTTAGTATCCCATCCCGAAAAACACGTATCAATCATTACACAGACTACTTCTTCCGTGCTAATCCAAACACCACTACACAAAACCGTCGACAATACGACACGTGTTTCGCCACTTAAGGAGGCATCATCAGGAGAGAAACGGCAATCATTATTGGTGACGGGATTAATGCACGCAATGAGAGCATCCACGACTTTTTCTGCCACCAGCGCGGCGCCGCTTTACCATGAGATTTCATAGCGGGGACGATAATTTCTTAGAAAAATATAAAGGTTAATGTTTCTTTCTGTATTATTAGTTATATTTTATAGTAATTACATTAAAAATAAATAAACCAAACTGTAAATATAACTAAAAGTAAAAAAATTAAATAAAAAAGAGTTATAAAGTACATAAAATTAAAAATCAAACCACTGACGCAATGTGTTGTGTATTAATATAACACCCTAGATACTTATTAACTATTATTTAAAACTAATTTCTCAATTAAGTCACACCGTGTAACAGAAAACTTTACCTCAGTCACCACTAGCGACATCATTACTAGCACTCATTCAAGGAGGGCAGGAGGTGCTCTTCAAACAGGCGATGTTTTTTTATCATTTGGAGAGCAAAGAGCGAGAGGGCAGAGAGCGAGGCAGGCAAACAAACACATGTTCAATGTTTGCCTGCCTCGTTGGCTTAGTGGTTCGAACTTCGAATGGTCTCGAATCTCGAGTCAGGCCAAAATCTGTTATGGGCTTATTCAGATCAAGAAGTTAGCAATCTTATCGATCTGTGCCTGATATCTGAGTGCTCGCTTCGGATTGCCATCCCATCGGATTATGACAGTGAGGTAAGTTGTGCTTGCGCATATACTTGGGCTCAATATTCTTGTCCTGCACAGATGGCTAGTCCCCGTTGTGACTGGACGCCGTGACCAAAATTCGATCTGGAGGACATTATTAATAGGCAGTCATTTGTTTTAAGGCCAAAATATTTGAGGTATTTTTTTTATTTCAGGTATCATCTCATACACGGAATATTTGTTCCTGTTATCAATACTAACAAGTAAGTTATATATCTGTCTTATAATTTACATAAAAATCTTACGTATTCAAGTTTAAAGTGCCCTCTTGATAACTTAATTTGCTTAGCTACATCAGAATGAACGGTACTGCGGAGGTTTCATACTAGCATCTCGCAACGCCCGCACACATGCACAGTATTCACCTACAGAGCAGGCAAAGAAAATAACGCGATATTTAGTACTGCCGACGTAAGCATTGCATTATTTTTAATCTGCTACCATAGATGAAGACCACGCTTGTGTGCGTCCTTGTGAAACGCTTGTGCGAAGCTACCATATTCTCGTTCAGTCTGACTACATTCAATGCGTTTTTTCGGCTTGAACAAAGGCTTTACAACAGCTTATTAAAGATGCTGAAACCATACTTAACTTATCGTAAAAACACGCACTCACGCACACATCATTCGGAATCAACGACAGGTAGTTTTAGGTGCGTATGTGTGCAGCAGAGGAAAATTGTAATAAAGAAGAAATATGTGTGCGTGGGTGCGTAAAAAGAAGTTGAGCATGGTTCCGGCCTCACTTGAAACTTACGTAGAGTTTCGTCTATCTTTATTTGTTGGTTTGAATAATATTCCTTTAAACTTATTTTCAGAGCCGGCGTCAGGGTTCCAAATAGCGTTTAACATGTTCGACACGGACGGCAACCAAAGAGTAGATAAGAACGAATTTCTAGTCGTAAGTAGGCAGAATCTTTATTTCTCATACGATTTTCAGAAATATACATATATAGGTAAGGTTTTAGAGCTATGATTTGTAGAGTTTAAAACCAGAAATATGACATTTTGTTAATCAGTCGCCATATTGAATAAAACTAGTTTATTATTTAATCGTTATTTCGCGCCTCATTTTTTTTTAAGTGATCTACAGGAGCTAAACGCAAGTTTTATAATGCCTTAACATATATGATCCACTGCAGTAAACAAAATCAGAAAAATGTATGATATTTTTCAGGATATATAGTGTGTTGAAAACATGATATTACTCATTTGATACAATAGAAAAAAAATTACAAAAATACCTCTAAAAATTGCTTTTAACGATTAAAAACCATACTAATATACATGCAATCATTCTGATTTTTATAAGATTGTTCTACAAGCAACATATTACGTAATAGTGTCCAGTCAATAATTTTTTTTTAAATCGCATATTCTTATTTCTGAACATAATACGTACGCATGTGTGCGTAAACGCCTGTGTACCGACAGTGCCGGCCGAGGCCTTAGAAATTGTGTAAATGTGTGCGTGCGTCATTTAAGGTCACTTAGCTCTTGTAGTCCCCTTTATTCCCTGTTTCGGGGTGCTTTAAAGAACCCATGGTCACGAGCAATACATTCCAACATTAGTTTTATTCAATGTCTAGAAATCGCCATTCGCAATAAAAGGAATTTGTGCCAACTTTTTAAGAGCACTTCACGCCTTTATATATTTCTATTATGTTGGCACTACACAATCGTCCAACCTCTCCTAATGTTTACTCGAATGAACTCGTTCTAATCATTACTAAAAGTGCCACCCTATAGACGAAAATTAAGAAGAAAAAAACAGTGAAAATGATGAAACAGTGAAACATGCGAATGAGCCAACCCCAACTCGGCTTTTCTGAGTACACCCGACGATTCGCGATCCAATACGGGTTGAAAACCCATTTACATAATGGTGCTGGATTGTTCATTGGAGAGTTTGACGATCCGTGTAGAGCCGGCATTAGTACTGCTGTTGAATAAATTAACCATTATTTTTCTATACGCTTAAATTCTTTTTTTTTTAGAATGCGCATAGGACTAAAACAAAATGCTAAGAACAAATAAGTACCTATTATAGTACGAGAGGGTAATATGGTCATCCGGTTAATATGGCCACTTTCTTATAACTCAAAAGCTACAATCTTATTTGCGTAGATGGTTCTGTGATACGGTAGCCCTTCATCAGTCAATCAAATAATAGAGGGTCAAAAGGGCGCTGCTTTATCGACGCCATTTTGACAGTTGACATTATAGTAAATATTTTAAGTCGATTTTAGGATTGTGTATTATAGATAGTTTTCTTTTTTTTATTTTAATTGTTGTGTGTGTTCCTAAAAATTGCAAAGCAAATTACAGCAATTTTTTTTTCTTTAATATGTTAGTTATAGTATACGAATTTGTGTTTTGTCTCTGTCCTCCTCCTAGGTTTGTTTTTGACCATGTTACCCTCACGTACCTTAGTAGTGGTAATCTCCGCTACACAGAGTAGATACATTGTATATACTCCGCTAGGAGTAAAGTATTCTGTGGTCGTAATCTACAGAAACGGTGCACTAGTTCCTTTTAAAAAAAAAGCTACGCACTAAGCACAATAACTCGTAGTTGTTTAGAAACAAGCAAAATATTATATTACGATCTAGCAATTCTTTAATGATGTCAATAAGCTAAGTGCAACGATGAATATAAAATAAAATAATGCTCTAATAAATCTATATCTAAACATGAAATAAATCGTAAACAGATTTTTTCTATTTTTCTATAATATACACACGCCAATAACCGTAATGAGACAGACCAATTTGGATGTGGGTTACAGTGATATATTGTGATATATGATTAAGCTTATATTTAGTTTTGATTCATAAATATTAAAAAAAATATTACGCCAATTTTGAAGTGCTTCCGTGAAAATAGTGTATGTGCAATTGTAAAAATTTGAGTACAATATAATTTATTATTTCGCTTTCTTCGGCCTATATTTTCTTCACAAACACAAACATCCAGACCCGGAACAATTATTTGTTGGCCATGTAAATACATGTTAAGAATTCGAACTCGCGGCCCTCAGCGTTGCAACTCATTGCTAAGCCACTGCGCCTCGGAGCAATTCTTTTGTTTTATGTTTATTTATTTATATACATATTTTATTTATTTATTTTATTTTACGAACATGTGTTTGCGATATGAATGTAGATCCAGCGTCTGCTCGGAGGCTCATTGAAGGATCGGAAAGACCTGGACCCGAAAACTCAACAGGCAGTGAGTTTTGTAACGCTTTAGACGAGCATTGCGGCTCTGTTTTAAATTAGCAATTGAATTTTGGACTACATTATTAGCATCGCAATTATCGTTTTCTTGAGCGCCTTAATTTTTAATTAATTATAATCACATTTCGACTTTCGGCTTAAGAAGTTGGCCTAGAGAATGTTTAAGACAAGGGAAAGCAACATCCTTTAGTGCGTAATTTTAAAGTAAAACTGAACTGTTGCATATAGCTGTTTCGAACCGATCAGCCGGTGTAGCACATCGATCTAGGTCTAATGCTTATCTCTTGGTCTGCAGTTCAATCATAGGAACAAAAGGGGACCGTGTTTATTAGTTTTCTTTTTTTTTATAGGACAAGGGTGACAAAAGAGCACACAGTCCACCTGATGGTAAGTGGTTTCTGTGGCACATAGACATCTACATATATCCTCGATTACGAGTCAAAATGCAGATGCGTTTTCACCGGTGAGGACTAAGATGGAATGTCTCATTTTCAGTAAAAAGGATCTCCGGTTCTCTACACTTACCATACGAAACACAGCAGCGTTGAGCTGCTATTTTACGCTGGTATTCTATAAGAGCGTGGTACTTCCGCGGTCTAGCCGACCCATTCGTGCTACAACCATAATAAACTGCAGCATGGCTCTACCACGTAAAAAAGAACTTTTTTCTTTCAAAAAACGTCACAAATGTTCAAAAGTCCACTGCTGAACATAGGCCTCTCCCATTGTAGGGAACAGTTGGTAGATTGACGATCGCAATACTATATATCTCGCATCTTTGAAGATGATAGGCATCGCCAATCTGGGTATTTTACACTTAAATTTAATTTTTAAACGGAAGAAATTGTTATTCCGTTTTCAGAAGCCATAGATTTCTCTGGCGTTACCCATACTTGCTTCTTACGATACCCACGGCCCTCTCACAACGGGACAAAACGGGTTCCCTTACGCTGTCATCACACGGCCATTTTTTATAGGTTAATAATGACAATTGAATCGTGTAATACCGGTGTAAGTGTATCCCGTACGTATAGTAAGATACGGCAGAGGAAAACTGAACCAGGAGATGGCACCTATGGCAAATATCCCCTGTGAAGCAATCTATGGGACTTTTGATAGGCTGATGATGATAACGAAACCAATTCCTAGTAATTCATTGCGTATATTTAGTGTTTCATTCATTCCAAATTATGCTTGATTTTTAAAGTCCAAAATTTATTGTTAATTCAATGCAGTTGCTCGGTCGCTCAATCTGTATCTCTCTTGTCCTAAAGATATACATTTAATCACAATTTTATTTTGGATTCCAGACTTTTTATTTCACTGTTTAATTATTATTTTTGTTTTTTGAATATAAAGTCTAGTCTGCCTGTCCACTCCATATTAATATTATCTGCCCCTATTCCGTTATTCGAGCGATACAGGTATTTAGTTTCGCTTTTTATTTTTATTTTATTTTTTGTTATGTGATAATATCTAATTATTTGTACAAAGAAAACCACAACCCTGCATAATGCAAAGGATATATATATGTAATAATATGTACTTATGTGTGTATTATGTACTCACCGCGTGGCTCTGTAGCTGCTTGCCTTAGTGTCCTCAAGTGCACTGAAGAATGACATGAAGAAAAAGGAAAATAGTTATAAGCCGTCGACAGTAAGTTGCGATTGCAAAGTGAAATCAAATGTTTGTTTGATGTCATTTGTGAAATTGCAGAACTTGTGGATTTGGTTAATTGATGTTCTTGAATTTAAATTTGGAATTTCCTAATCTTGAGACCGTTCGATTCAAATTGTCTGTATTCTAATTGGTTAAAAAGGCATAAACATTTTGTTTAAAGTATCGATATTTACGATTTCTCGGAAGTTCGTTTTTAATGACTGTAGGGAAATGAAGCTATATCTATCTTTCTTTCTTTCTCTCACTAACAATTTTTTAATTCCCATTTTTTAAATTTCACTTATTTGTTAAAATTCTATGCACGCCATAATATTAAATTATTAAGTAAGTTTTTTATTTCGATCTCGCTGTAACTTTTAGAATAGTTCTTTTTTTGATTTCAATGTTGATTATAAGACGTAATGTTCAGCTTTACGCTTTCCTTAAAATGTTTTTATGTGTTTGCTTTATGATTAATTTTTTGTATGTATGCATATGCTATAATAAAAAAGCTATGTGTGTTAATTCATGTTTCAAATTATAATAACGATTTTAAACATCAGCGTATCTCTAAACCCAAACAAGCTCAGGGTAGATGCGCGTCGATTGTGTAGAAAGCCAGAAAGGGCTCAAGGAAATGAACGCAATTTCCCTGCCGGCTTAAATGAAAGTACATATATAGAGCTACAGCTTCATCGGCTATGAAGATTGTATTGTTAGAAACGCCGTCCTCGGAGCTACGAAAGTGTTTCCCATAGTCCATCCACCCATTTTCATCCATTACCACAGTTTAAGAGACCTTACAGTTGTGAAACGCCTTTGATGTCAGGCGATGCCGCCGCCGGCGTAGAAAGCGTGTATGCTAGGGGTTGTCACGAAAATAGAAATATAATAATACTCATTATCATTTATTAACATTATGTAGATACTTATTAGTTAAAAACATTTATTAAGCAAGATCATTTTTTATAACAACAAGAAAAAACACATTCAAGTGTTGCAATGCCAAATATTTTCGTGACACTTTCTTTTTATAGATGTTTTCAGTTTTCAATTATTAAATTTAATTATGTAGTGTATTCACAATTCGGATTAAACAATTGTATCACCAAAAAAAAATCAGGGAAACATAAGCATGGTCGTCATTTGAACGTCAATTTTACTTAGTAACTCATACAACTATAACAGTCATTCACCATTCTAGATTTTATATTTATCGAAAACGGCACTTAAAATAAGTTAAATGCTTTATAACACGCTCGCGCCAACCGCATGTATTGTATAGCAGACTCAGTGAACAGCGCTAGCCCAAGGTCGGCCCGCACCCCGTACCCGTAAGGCTCCCACCGTTGCTTTGTACAAGCACATTCGTTTCCCAACTGTAAGGTCATTAAACTATGCCATTACAATGTATGACACTCCACTGCTGAACATTGGTCTCTCCCATTAAATGCCTCATAGGTAGGATTTTGCCATAGTTGTCACGGTTGGCAGGCGGGTTGGCAACAGGAGGTTTTTATTATTTTCAGTTATTTTTAGGAGGATGCTATTGCCCGTTGTTGAGGACAGTGCCCTGTACACCTTGTGATAGGGAGAACTGCCTACCCTGATGAGAATAAATGAAACTTGGACTGTACTGAATTGGTTTAATAAGTGCTACAGAGTTAACCCGACAATGTAACCGTGCGATAGATAACGTGAGCGAAGTCGTTCTCATAGATAAATAAATATATAGGTTGTTCTGTACGACCGGCGAACCGCTACCAAATATTGCCGCCCCACTCCCCCCTCTCCCCGCTGCTAAAACTACGTGACGCATGTTCATGGAGTAATGTCGCGCGCAATCTTGTCTTCACCACCCATATCTTTATTTATTTCCCCTCTGTCAACTCTTACGATACCTACGGGATGATATGAGATATTGGATTTTCTTACACTAAATAGTGAAAATATCGATTAGTAAAGTTTAGTAGTGGAAATCATCTGGGGCAGTGGATATTCTTACACCGTCTCTACACGGTTTAGTAGTTTAGTTTCACATTACTACTATAGATAAACGTAGTACTTACAAGTCAAAACGTCATCTTTCGAAAGCCACTTTCTTTCTTTCGTTTCTTTTCTTCATGTTTCTGTCACTCGTATCCCATAGTCGCCTCTTACGATACCCACGCGCCACGGGACGAAATGGACGATGAGTGATGGATTCCTTAAGCCGCACCCTAAACCTTGACTTTGATTGTTATCTACAATCAATAACCTTAATTTACCTGCCTATTAATAATATAAATCTACGTTGCATGATCTCCACAACTGCTAGTAAACGCAAAACCAATATTATTTGAGTGTGAAATTTCTACAGTAAATATATCATTTGTAAAAATGGTTCGTGTGAATAAGGAAAGAAACGCGTAATATTACAGATGGAGAAGATCTTCAGTTTTGCCTGGAAGGGCAAGAGAGGAATTGAGAACCAGCAAGGTGAAGAAAAGCAAGGGAAAGAGAGCAGGCCCCAGGATAACTACGTCAACGATGATCAGGGTTTGCAGCGTCGACACAGCGTCGACACATTTTTGCAGGTTAGTGGGCATTATTCCCTGGTTCCTAAGTCTCAGGTCCTAAGTTTGAATCTCAGTCTCCGTGCAAATCACCAAGGTTTTGACGTTGGTTTTTATGTAATCCCATGTTGATTTTTTTTTAATAGAAGAAGGGGCAAACGAGCCCGCGACTCACCTGATGGTAAGTGACTACCGCCGCCCAAGAACAACCGCAACACCAGGGGAATTGCAGATGCGTTGCCTGCCTTTTAGAAAGGTGTAAGCTCTTTTATTGAAGATCCCTAAGTTGTATCGGTCCGGAAAAATCGCCGGTGGTAAACAATTCCATAGAGATGTTGAACGAGGAAGAAAACTCCTAGTAAAATGCACAGGCGTCGACCGCCAAGCATCCCTTCTAAGTGACCACGAAACTGCACACTATTCGATATGTTGACGTCGAGGATTCCGATGCTAGCTGTGGCAGCAAGGGAGTGCCTTGAAACTGAAGAGATACGACAAAGGGGTTCTTTTTAGCGGTAAACGCGCAAATTTTTGTTATGTACCAGTGTCTCTGACAATAATAATATCTGTATATATTTTTCAGAGTAGCCAAATTCTAAACTTAACTTCAAATATATAAATAATTTAAAATTTAAAATTTTGTTCAGCCGACTTCAATATAAGTTGTTAAGAATAACTCCAAAACTATTGGCCTTACCTTGATCAAATTAAAGAACATATGGGACCACACGAGAAGTACCAGCTTTCAAATAAAAAAGAATCATCGAAATCGGTCCACCCAGTAAAAAGTTATGAGGTAACACACATAAAAAAACATACGCGTCGAATTGAGTACCGTCTCCTTTTTGAAAGTCGGCAGATAATGTTATAACGTAATTGCAGTTTTTAAAAATACCAGTAAATAAGGCTTTTATTTTAAATTATCCCAAATTGAATGTGATTTATGGGCATCAACGTTTTTGCCAACATTCCATCTTAGTCCCCAAATGCGACAACGAATCTACATTTTGATTCTTAGGCGCCGCCCAAACGTAAACACTTTTGTGTCTTGTGTGGGACACAAGCTACCAGAGAATATTTTATTTTCATATAATCGAAATAAAATCAGCCACTCCCTGCGCAGGCGCACACACTTTTTGTGTACAGTTGCACAACACTTAACACATATCTATTTATTTATTTATTTATTGCATTTACATGTGGTTTTGTGTGACACATTACAGCACATGCACCCAGCAAGGGTATAACAATTTCAAATAAAGCTAGCCTTCATTTCTAATACCTTAATTCTAATACTAATATTTATATATTTTATACATTACAGGTATTATTGTAGTATTTTGTGTACGTTTTATTACTGTATTTATTTATTTATTTATTTCTATTTTACATAATATTCATCTAATTTATAGTAACATTTCTTAATCAATAAGCTATTTAGTGCTACCACAATTTTTTTATATTCTTCCATCTCTCTTATATATTTGGGTAATGTATTATATAATTTAACTGTCATATCGATTGCCAATCAAAAAGTGTTCGGTATAGGTAACTGTAAACTAAAAGTCGTCAGTTGAAAACACAAGCAACATTAATAAAAATTCACGGTGGCGACGTCTACGTCGACGTATAACAACGACATATAACGTGTATCAACACAACAAGCAAGGTAATGATTCTTCATCGACATCCACCGTAAAACTGACTGAAAAGAAGTAACGAATTGTTACCAGTGACCAGAAGCAGCAACCGGCAACTGTGTGACACGACAACTACGTACGGTTTCCTGCGATGGTGTGCCGTGTCGGTAACAAAAAGTGTCCACGTTTGTGAAGCGGCTAAATCAAGGATAGATAAAGGTATCTATGGACCGCAGCATTCACTTATCGTCAGGTGGACTGTGCTCATGTATTGTCATATTATATGTCACATATATTCTATAAAAAAAACTATCTTTCTTGTTCTTTATCCATTCGGAAAAATCACTGCTGTTCGTTTTTAAGGTTGCGTGGCTTAAATCGTTTGTATCCGATCACCTTACCACTTGTAGGTCACGTTCGACCCTGGTTAGAACAAATGATCGATCGACACAGGTGCAAAATGCCTGCAATATTTATTTCATGTTGTTTTTTATTACGAATTGACTTCAGGTTCACTTCTTCGGTAAGAAGGGCACGAGCGATCTCAAATTCGAGGGCTTCAGGCAGTTCATGGAGAACTTGCAAACCGAAGTCCTCGAGCTAGAATTTCATGAATTTTCTAAAGGTAATGCTACAATCTTAGAGATTTTTAAATATAAATTATATTAATATGATAATATTAATATAATATTAGCACAACTTGCTCCCAATGTATATTATATCAGATATTAAATACCAGGGCATGAGACAATATCAGAAGTGGATTTCGCAAAGATCCTCCTCCGTTACACCTACCTCGACACGGACGAGTACGACATGTACTTGGACCGGCTGCTGGACCGCGTGCACGACGGATGCGGCATCACCTTCGACGAATTCAAGACCTTCTGCCAGTTCCTCAACAACCTCGAGGACTTCACCATCGCGATGCGCATGTACACGCTAGCCGACCATCCCATCTCTAAGGGTATGTTGTCGTTTGTTGTTTCTGGGGTTCCGTACCCGAAGGGTAACCAACGAGACTACTACTAAGCCTCAGCTGTCCGTCCGTCCGTCCGTCTGTCTGTCAGCCAGCTGTATCTCATGATCCGTAATAGGTAGACAGTTGAAATTTTAAATAAATTTAAAATTAAAGGGGGCTCCCCTACTAGAAACGTGTTTTACAATGGTACAGAACCCTTCATGCGCGAGTCCGACTCGCACTTTGCCGGGTTTTTTTTTCTATTTGACTTTAACATATTTTTGGTGTGTAGCTATAGGGCTTATCTTAAAACTTCACAGTACGAGTTCGATCCTCGCTGACACCGATGAAATTGTTAATTATAATTCTGGATGTTGATTTCTCATGTGCACGGCGACAAAAAGAACCTAATCAGGATATCTCTCTTCTCCACTCCAAAAACTATACTGGAAGTGAAAGATTTCAGCACAGTAGTGGAACATATAGGATATAGGCGGTCGTTTTACCATTTCTGTTTTTTATATTTCTGTAAGTAGCAGAGAAGAACCAGATGGTTATATAACGCTATCTATCGGAAGCGAGAGTAACTGTATTACCTCGTAGTACAGGTGTGAGAAAACCCATCGCCCCATTTTGTCACTTAAAAAAATTACAGAAATAACACACAATAAAATAACATGTTCACCCAGACGAGTTCCACCGCGCGGTGAAGATCTGCACGGGTATCGCGCAATCGGAACACCTTGTTAGCACCGTGTTCGCGATCTTCGACGCGGACGGCGACGGCCTTCTCAGCTACAAAGAGTTCATCGCTATCATGAAGGATAGGCTGCATCGAGGATTCAAGGTAATGGGACTTGCAACTTTCTAGGTGTAAATGTACTATAGCCCGTCCCAAGTCCACAGATAAACTGTGAGAAATATATCCCATTTGACATAATTGCCACGTAAGGGTGTTAGCAAAACAAACCATCGACGATCGAATCATTGGTGTGGTAGCTTTAGCTGATCGACGGATACTGGTCGATGAAACGTTGTTTATTTATTTAAACTTCATACATACAATATTATGTATAGGCGGAGTTAATTCCTGAGGCATTCTGTACCAGTCACCTTTGGGTGAAGCAGAGATAAAAATATGAAGTAGGTGTGTGTAAGGTTAAAGAACAGAAATGTAAATTAAAGTATATAAATATACAACAAAATAACACCTTACATAAACTTACATATCAATATTATTTAATAGATTCATAATATTATATATAAATAATATACATAAATTCAATCGTCGATCGACAATTAATCAATTTGGTAGTGGGCTCATCATCAGTATTTTTCAAAATGTATTTAGGAAAGGACGCGTTATTGTTGGCCAGTACGCTCTTACTCGCATTATTATTACGGAGACGCAAACGCGGAAGACTCTGGATGCGACCGTTTTTTTAAGGCCAAAGATAGCTTAAATTCATTTTAAATAGCGGTAGGTGGGGCGGGGCGGGTTCTCGAATAATCAAACAGCTCGATAGACGTCGACTAATCCATTCTACCATCGATCAATGCCATCGATCGATTGGTGTGATAACACATTAAGCTTTCGCAGTTTCTTCTCCGGGCAGACGAATCTCATTTTTAAAATTAAAAAATCATGTAAACATTTGACAAACGAAATATTGATTTCATTAAAACTTTTAATAAAAAAACCGACTTTAAATATGTAAAAATAATAAAATCTTTCACATTCTGAAGTCGGTGCAAAGACATAGTGTATACAGTTATTTTTCAAAGAGTATCCAAATTTTAAACTTTACTTCAAATACATAAATAATGATATACCGTTATTGCAGTTTTTGAAAATATGAGTAAATAAGGCTTCCGCAGTTTTTTATAATTCTAAGTTGTTATCAGGAAGACGCTGCTACCCATCTCCTGGTTTGTTTCCCTCTGTCGTCTCTTACTACACCCACTCTGACATCGGAGGCAGCTGAATTAAGTGGCGCAAATATGAGTCTCTGAGAGATGATTACATATTTGTGCCATTTGCTGTAGTGACTATCGGTCCGTGGGGTCCACGTGCGGTGAAGTTCCTGAAGGGACTGTATCCGCGACTGGTCGTCGCTGCTGGTTATGAGAGGGCTGATTATTTTCTCCCTCAAAGGATAAGAGTATAGTCATTCAGTAAGAAAACGCAGCAAGCGTCATACCACGGAAAGCGGGACTGTGTGATAGTTTAAATTTTCTATTTTTGTATTTCTTTATTATACTTTTTTTAATATTGTGTTATTTTTGTTAGATTTAATTTTAATATTGTTGACTTATTACTGCTAAGGTCAGGGAGCATTGAGCGCCAATCGATGTATAGCAGCCTTGCTACTCCCGGTATATTAAGTAGCGGCACGAAAGACTAGCGATGACCGTTTTTGCGCATAAGTCGCGCTGATTGTCTTATTGCTCATAAGTCGCGCTGATTGGCTCTCCAGTAGAATTCATGCAATTCAATTCCTCTACGTTTCGTTCAGCGCTAGACTTACGTGCCGCGATTTATATTACATTGAAAATTAAAGAAAATTTAACATATATGGTAAAATTTGAATAGTAATAATTTCAATTGACTTTACGTTATATTTTAATTGTATTAAACTTTTTTCAGTCATACGCGAAAAACGAAGGCTGGGAGGCGTTCAAGACATGTGTCAAGCAAGAAATGAAGAGCTCCGTTTAGATAAAACTAACAAAACGTCAGCAAGCGTGCCAAAGCCATGCCATATTTATTTATTTATTTATGTCAAACCGGCTGCGAAAAGATAGATACGTGGGCAAGGATCTCAGTTATATCAAAATAGATTCCTAGTATAATATGGTATATACAAAATGTTTGGGATATTTCTAACTCTTATGTGTTAGTTAGTATTATTACCTTATCCTATACTCAATGATTTTAGGATTAACCTAAGCTGGAGCAATTTCAAAAAGTAATCAACTACCTTTATGCACTACATCAGGGATGGCGAACCAATGGCACGCGACACAATATTTTGGGCACGCCACCGATCACAAATTTCACGATACGAACGAATGCGAGTGATCGATCCTACGCCACGGAGTGTTCGGGCGCAACGGTAATCACGAAATAAGAATTATTTTGCGGCACGTCTCTGGTATCATTAAACATTCTTTAGAAAAATGGCACGTTGATACATAGAGGTTCGCCACCCCTGCACTCCACGATCGTGTAACCGTCCAACTTAAATGTTTGTCCAAACTTTAGCAACTAGGTCCAACTATTAAACGTGCATCAAATGGTGCTAAATTTTAAAAAAAAATCTTCAAATATTTACCCAAACTTGAACAACTAGTTCGAACCAATAAACGTGCCTCCATACGGATGGTGCAAAACTTAAAAAAGGAAACCTAGTGAAAACGAAGATGGATGATGATAATTATACATACTCTATGTAGAGGGCGGTTGACAAATGAGGGCTAATAATTTTCTGCTCACCAGACGTCGCTAGTTGACACTGATGTAAAGTTTTGTTACACAATGTCATTTAATTGAGAAGTTGTTTTTTAATAAAAGTTTATCAGTTTCTAAAATATTAAATTAATACACAGAACAATGCGTCAGTGGAGTTTGCTCTTTAATTTTTTGCACATTTTTAACTTTTTTTTAGTTTTTCTACTTTTATGAATATTTGTGGTTTGGTTTATTTATTTTAATGTTATTAATATAAAATATATATATAATAGTACAAAAAGAAACGATAACTTTAACATTTTCCGAACAAATTAACTTCCCCACTATGAAATCTGTCAAGTATTATACCTCACTTTCTAGTGGCGCCGTCTTGGTGGCAGAAAAGTCGTGGAAACATTAGGACACTTGTTTATACGTCTTCGATATAAACTTCGCTCCCGGCGATCGCCATACGAGCTCCGATGAACTATTGGTGGTGGAACTTTATTTCTGCATAGGATTATTTGGTTAAGTACCACCTTCTGACCTATTTCTGCCGCCAAACAGCAATTCTTGCTTGCTGTGTTCCGCTTTGGAGGGCATAGAGAGCCAGTTAAATAACAGACTGTCAGGCAATCCATCGTAGTCAGAGGTGACAACACATAAGTATCCTTCTTTGCTTAAAGTTGTTTATGAACTACAGTAGCCACTATTCATCAAGTGGACTGTAAGTTAGTGTGTCACTTCAGTTTTATAAAAAAAAAAACCCGCACAAATCACCTCTACACAACGAGAATTGAAAACAACTTTGGATGGTTGGACGATCCGTGTAGAGACAGTATTAGGTTTAAAATATCAAAAATAAATACACCTACGCAGACTGCAGATTAGATTTAAAATACAAATACAGCGTATATTTATTGTCATTTTGAGTTTAACTTTTAACCGTAATCGAAAAAACGAATATATGGTTTAAAACATAACTGTACACTAGATACGAGACATTCTATCTTAGTCACAGCATCCACTTAGCATCAGGTGGACTGCGTGCTCGTCTGTCACCCGTATTCCATCACAAAAATACACTTTGTGCCTGTAAGTAAAGAGATGAAGATCACAAATCACTAAGAATAGGGGTAGCCAATGCTTAGATATCAACAAGGATGAAGTTCTAATTATGGGATTAATGTAATTTAAGTTTTAAATGATTTATGTCCAATCGTTTCGTTGCCCTATTTCTACGTTAGCAAAAAATAACAATAATAAAAATTTGTGTTTTTAATGGTTGTCTAACAAAGTGAGATTTTGTTAAGTTGAAGTTTTTATAAAGTATTTAGTAAAGAGTGATATTAATAATTTAATATTTCTACTAACACTTTTGTTATATTAAGTCTAAATTTTATATCCCTCTGTTTTTACTAATAAAAATTTATTGTTTATTGTTTTAACATTTTATATAAAATGTTTGTATTATGTAAGGACCGTTTTAATTTGATAGTCATTATTTGTTTGATTTTATACCTGTATATAATAATCAAAGCAAAATAATTTAATTTTTTTTTTGAATCGTTTTGCTACTAAAACACTTACGGAGTGTTGCTTGTTTTGTTCATTGTTCGTTTGTTTCACTTTTATATTCAGTCAAGTTACAATTTATTTGATAGATAACTTTTATGTGACTATTGAAAAAAATGTAATATCCATATATAAAAATCAATTGCTACCCGTCAGTTTCGCGAAAACACAAAAACGGATCTACTATAATAAAAATGGACTGGATGGTTTAGTTTCACATTTAGACTCGGTAGATGGCGCTGTTTTCAAGATCCAGAAATCACCCAAGCGAAACCGGGGCGAACGCTAGTTATTGAATATTTCCTACATTATATTAGAACATTTTCCCGCTTTAGTCAGTTCTCTAATAGACATAAAATATCCAAAAATGTATAATAAGCTATTAAAACACACATTGTAGTTTGTAAACCTTTTATATTATTAAAAGGTAAATGCTTCAAATGCCTCAAAAAGTACCTAGTAATTTTAATGAAATTTTTCTATGATATTTAATATTTAAACATGTTTGCTAGTCATTCGCACATAAATTTACAAAAATATATTGTTTTGTTATAGCTTAAGTTTTCAGATTACTGGTGATTAACTTAATATAGAAATTAAATTATGTTGTGAGAATAGTTGTCGGTTGAACTTTGTTCCTATTAAATGGTCACTTCATAGTTTACTATACGGTATTTTTAAGTATTTATTAAATAGGACAAGTTTTAAAAAGCTATGTCAAAACATGCCGTTACAACACGCTCTTGAGATGGCGCTCAAGTGAAGAAGAAAAAGTTCTTTGGTTCAATATGAGAATTTAAGGAACTTCAGTTAATTTAAAACAATGTAGACCTGAATATATTACCACAATATGATTAATAACATGAAAACTAGTTAATGCACAAAATTGTAAACATATTGATTTTTTTTAAATCTAAATATCTTTTGCATTTAGCTCTTTTAAAGTGCCTGTTGTTTGAGATTTGTCTTTTGATTATTAAATAAAAAATATTGATGAAACTGCGTTTTTATCTGCGTCCAATGGCTCATGTGTAATGGGATATTTAAGGGCCGCTGCTGATGTTGTAGATGGAGTGTGGTTTGAAAAAAAAAACATTTTTTTTTACATGTTTTTAATGAGAAAACATTTTTACATAAAAATATCTTCAACGATCTTTCATACCAAGCTTATTTATACACGCAAATCAATTCCGTAATAAATATAATTGCGAATACAAATTAATTAAAACTTGCTTACGAATAGAAACTGTTTTCAAATCTGACTAAAGTACGTTTTAAAGTTAAGTATAATGCCAGATTAGGGTTGCCAACATTTTTTTTTTTGGAAATATAGTCTTACAATAATAAATTGCATTCACGAAATAAAAAACATTACACGTATACATTATCCCTTGAATTCTATATTTAAATAACTGCTGTTGAGATAATCAACGCGTATTAGTATAATTCCGCAAAATTAAATAACAGAATTTAACATATCTAATTTAAAAACCGTATAATTGGCAAACCCTAAGCCCGGTTGCAATATTATTTTAATATTAATTTTCAATATATGACATTTTATAACTTATCAGTAATAGACAACATTTTTATTGAAGAAAAGTTCTAGTAACCTTTAATATAAAAATACATTAGTTTCACTGTTTAATAGCCCAATATTTTTTTAAACGTTTTTCCTGTGTCGTGGAGGCAGTTTACAAACATAAATTGCACAAGGACAAACATCCAGACCCGGAACAATTATTTGTAGGCCATACAAATACTTGTTCCGTGCGGGATTCGAACCCGCGGCCCCCAGCGCAACAACTGATTGCTAAGCCACTGCGCCACGGAGCCGTACCGTTGACATATAACAGTAAATAACTTTCAAAATATATATGACAAAATAGATACTTCTTTAAGAATTCCACTAATTATTATATATTATAATCGTGTCGTAATGATTTAAATATGGATTTATAAATTTTATTTTAATATGAATAGAGGCTACACAAGAGAATCAACCACTATAACATTTCATCCTGTAGGATTTATAAGTTTGAGTTTTTTTTTTTTAATGTAATAACGATAAAAAATCTCGAATAACTAGCCTATTGGGCTATGGAGGTTATTCCAGTTTTGCCTCCGATGTCCTCGTTTTGTACTTTATCAAACAGAGAAATTCCGAGAGCATAGAACTTTTGTAATTGATTCGTCGCTAATCTACCGACCTTCCTCAAGGTTAGCCGTATTATCTAAGTAGCCGAAGATGGCAAAACACTTTGACTTAGCTAGATAATAATCTATACACTCTTTTACCTCATACACGAAAGTATATTTTGTACGTGGTAGAGCCACGCTGCAGTTTTATGGTTGTAGCATGAATTTGTCGGCTCGACCGGGATAGAATCACTCTCACAGAATACCGGCGTAAAAGAGCAGCTTAACGCTGATGTATTTCGTATGAGTGTAGAGAACTGCAGACCCTGTTTACTGAAAACGAGGCATTGTTTTGTGTGTCAAATTTTCAATGGAATGTTTATTATGCGAGGGCTGGGGCTACGCTAATTGCCAACTGCGATAATATAAGAAGGCCTTGATTCCTATTAACCACTGAAAATAGACGAACAGTTTTGCGGTTCATAGTGATTGATTCTCATATGAGAAAATTCGGATCACATGCCATATATTATGTAAATTTTTTATTATTATCA